TTGAAAATATGATTTTCTAAATAGGGAATACGATTCCCAGTTGAAGGGAGAGATAAATTTTTGAAATTTGCCCATTATTCCGCAATCTTTGGGTGTCCATAGGATGGATCTCTCATCCCTTCATAAACATTGTTTTAAAAGGCTTAATCCTTGAGGTGTGAGGCATATGCCTTGAGGCGTGAGGCGTACGCCTTGAGGCGAGGCATACAGATTTTGCCTCAAGGCTTAAGCCTCACAACTTTGATGTGAGGCATAAGCCTTTGTCAGAATGAGGTGTAAGCCTCAAGCCTCAAGGCATGAGGTGTAACCTGAGGAGTAAAAAAGGCGTAAGCCTTAGTATGAATGATTACTTAATGATTTAATGCAAAAATTATATTTTTTTATAATTCAAAGTATATAGGAAAAAACACTTCAATAATTATAGGCCAAATAAATAAAGTAAAAAAGAAAAACCAATATGGTAAATCAAATTCTATTAGTTTTTCCTGGTGTTTTAAGAGAGTTAAATGCAAAAAGGGCTAATCAAGCTTTTGGTTTCTTTTGGATAAATCAAGTGAGATTTTTCTTATTATTCTAAATGTAATGTCCCAAATTTTTTATTACAACAACAACAACAACAATAATAATAATATAGATCAAATCAACTAAGTTGTTTCCTTTCTTATAAATTGGTTTTTTACATTAAACGTAAAATGTTTATATTGTTAGTTGATTAGTTATTATTTTATTTAATGCTTAAATGTTGAAATTTGTTGCTTATAAATTTCTAGTTTATGGATGTGTACTTTCTATCATTTTAATTTGGCATATCATCTGTTATTTCCATCAATTTACAAACTTTAATTAATTTTTTCCTTAAACTTTGAGGCTTACGCCTCACCTTTTTGGGCCATTATGCCTCAATTACACCTTTAGCCTTTTAAAACCTTGATCATAAAGTCCAAGATTTATCTGAAAATAGTTTAGTTTGGTGTTTCCCAAACACCCATGCCTACCCCTTGAGTCTCCGCTCTAGTAGTTGAGACTAACTGCTCCTTCTCATAAGGTAGCACTTATATGACAACCTTGTCCATCTTGAACTACCCATGTTCAACCACTAGTTGAGAACAATTTTGTCTACATATTGATTATTTTTGTCTCAACCAATTTATCCATGACTCTCACAAAAACATGTACTGAAAAAGACATGAGATTGTAAATGAAACTATTATGTCTATTCATAATAAAAGCAGTGTACATATCACAGTGGACCTAAAGAGCATATACTGTCCAACGATATACTCACCAACTTGAGGTGGAATACTAAGGTGTTACTATTCTTTATGTTTTCTATTTAGGGCGTGTGAACAGGGGTTTTTTTATCAGTCTAGAGTGAGTCACTTATTAGGGGTATGGTGGTCTTTTTATTCTTTCAAGTTGTGGTCCATCATGTAACTAAAACTGCTGCCACAGATGGGACTTGCATTCTGAATCCCACGATCTCTTAATTCTCCCCTACTTCTCTTATTTCTTTTTCTCTTCTCTTTTCTCTGTGTGCTACTTCATCTTAGATTGGATCAAAAGATTATACAATGAATTCAGGACAGTAAAAATTAGGATCTTCCTTTTAAGGATGGTTTGATGTCTTTGTAGGGGTTGTTAATTACTACATAAGTTTTCTGAAAGAGCCTAACTAGAGGAGGCATCGAGAGTAGGGCTGTAAATGGATTGATCAAATCCAAATCTGATCAAATTTAAAAATCTCATATTGGATTCGAATCCTATCAGACTCAAATCAGATTCGGATTTAATCCTACTCTGTTTCTTTTTTTAAATAAAGAAAAAAATTAAAAAGTTAATTACTTTTTAACATATATATAATAAATTAATATCAGTATAAAATATTGAATTTATTATATAAATTTATTTATAGTATGATATATAAAATTATATTTTATATTTCATATATAATTATATAAATTTTATATATTTAAAATCATTATATATTATAATATAAATTGATTTGGATTTTAATTGGATTGGATGGAGTTAAATCTTGTCACCGTCGTCATCCTCCATGCCTTATCCCAACTATATAGGGTCTGCTACATGAATCCTGTTTTATCAATCTGTTCTATTTAAAGTTATATCCACTGTTATTAGTGCTTAAATCATTTCTTACTGCTTCTACCCATGTCCTTTTGGGTCTACCCATAGCCCTTCAAGCCTCTTCAACTTGTAACAAATCACTTCTTCTAACTAGTGCTCCGATTATTAATTCGATGCAGATTGTAAAATCTGAATCCAATCCAATTATGTAAACAAATCATCTGATTCCAGGATAATCAAATCAGATGTTGGATTGGATTCCAGACTCTTGGAGTCTGTTGACGGCCCTAATCAAGAGAGTGCCTCCCAATATGGTTATTGCTTTTGTTTCAGTTTGATGTATTTGATTTGATCTTGCCTTCTCTTTTGAGAGATTAGTTGGTCCTCTTCTTCCCTGGCCGTGGCCAATAGACAAGATTGTTTTCCCTTTTTCAGCTTTCTATTATACCTTTCATAAAGCTCTTTGATCTGGCTATGATTAAAGAAAAAAAAAAAAAAAGAGGTGCATAAAAAATGTTTGCTGCATAATTGGTCTCTCTAGATTGGCTCGGTGTTGTTTCTCTTGGCATTTCATCATTATAGAATCATTCTGAAAAATGGTTTCACCTAATGGATTTAATGATTGGAATACGAGTTTATCTATTTATTTATTTATTGTGCAGATAGCACAGAATATCACCACTAATGAGCTGGCAAATGCCAGACGTTATGGATATCTTCAAGGTCCGGATGGGCGATTTCGCAACCCCTACAACCATGGGTGCAGAAAGAATTGCACTGATTTCCTTATTCATGGCTATATTGACGATAATGAAATTGCTTGGCCTACATTACAGCAGACCACCAATTAAAACCATCACAATACGCTTCAATTTTCCTCAGAATTGAGAATGTTGTTTTCTCTGAGACATTCCTCTCAGACTGTTGATCTATTATGTGTCCTATGATACATTGCAGAGTGTGACTCACAGGCTACAGATTCCAATGCTTCAACGCCTCTATCTGCCTGCTTATACTACAAATGAATAGGCGCTTTTCTGTTTTGGAGAATGCAGGTGATGCATGTTCTGTGTACATACCTTCTGATATATGTGATGGTGAGACGTAGGCATGCTTCTTGTGATACTTAATCTTCAACAAGAAATCTGTCTGTATTGTTTTGCTATGCATGTAAAATTCTTAAATAAATACGCTTGCGAGTTTTTAACTAGAACCTGCTAATTAGCTCGAACATTGCCATTGCTACTAGTGAGAGAATGTTAAAGTGAATGGTATTCTTAGCAAAGCTGAATTTCAGTATGTTATCTTTTCTTTGAACCTCTTGGTGTAATTGAGGAATCGAGGATTAGATCCCCGCCCCCCAATTCAGAGGTCCCATTGTCTACAATGAGAACATCCATGTTGCTCCTATGAAGGAAAAAGGTTAATCAATATAAGCAAATTTGTTGATGAAAGGAAAGGGAATGTTGGGAAAATACACTTGTTTCCAGGGACATCGCTAATTTGTAAGTATCGGACAACAGTCTTTCCAGGAATATTACACAAAATAAATCCATTTCATTTTTTCTTTCTTATCGAATAATGTTAATCCGATTAAGAATATTGTAAGCTTGGATTCTTTATTGGTTATAAAATCAGTTTTGTTTCATGTTGGTGGACTGAATATGGGTTTGGGAAAATAAATGGGGATAAAAAGGAAAAAGTTAAAAGAAATCAAAGGCTAATTGGAAGAAGAATACTCTCTATGGCGGGAAGAATCACTTTACTCAATTCTACTTTAAATATAATCCCTCAATTTATTATTAGATCTTTCCAGATTCCAAACAATGTGATAAAGGAGATTGATGGATGTCAAAAGAATTTTTTATGGACCAACTCTAAAGGTAGAAAGCCGATCCATTTAATGAATTGGGAAAGAGCTTGCACTCCTAAAGATAAGGTGGTTTAGGGCTCAAAATTCTTTTTTGGGTTAATGAAACTAATCTTGCAAAATTAGGTTGGAAAATTCTCATTAAGAAGACAACCTCTAGAGAGATAGATGGTTTGGTGTGAAAATTCGAGTTAAGAAGACAATTTTTTGGATGCTAAAATCAAAAAAGGAGTTTCTTGGACATGGAGAGGGATTCTTAGGGCTAGATATCTTCTCATCAATGGTTTGGGGTGGGAGATTAGCAATGGTAGATTAGTGAACTTCTAGAGAGATAGATGGTTTGGTGATAAGGCCATTGCTTATTTGATTCCTCAAGAAAATTTTGGTTAACGAGGAGCTCTTAGTGATGTGATTGATCAAGAAAGGAAAGTTTGGAGTAGGGAGAAGATCTGTAATTTTGTTCCAAACAATGGTTGGTTGAAGATCAATGCTACATTCATCCCCTAATATCAAAAAGAAGATAAGTTGGTTTGGTGGTTTAATTCTAATGGCAAATTTTCATCCAAGTCTGCCTACAGATTGAAGTGTAATCATTTACTGAACTATGTGAATGGTTTCAATTGGAACAAGATTGTTTGGAATCTTATGTGCCCTCCAAAACTGCGCTCCTTCTATTGAATAATAGACTGCCCACTAAATCTCTATTAAGACGCAAAGGAGTTAACATTGATGGAGGATGTGGTGTTTTTGGAGAGGATGAAGACGTGAATCATATTTTCAAAAGTTGCTCATTTATCCAACTATTCAAAGTTTGGATGAGCAAAATGTCCTTTAGAGATTGGTGGTTGGACTTTATTAAGAATTTACCAAATGAGGAGGAAAGGTTAAGGGAAAAATTCGTCTTCCTTCTATCACAGCTCTTGAAGATCAAAAGCATGAGGGTATTTAAAAATATTTTGATACCCTAAAATAAAGTCATTGATAAAGCCCTCATATCCTTTAGGACCTTTACAGAGATTAAGGGAGAGATTAGTACCAAGAATTGTAACTATATAAGGTGGACCGTGGTTTATGCACCATTGTTGTTCTTGTTAAGAACCACCTAGGTGAAGTTCTAGGTTTTAAAGCCTACAAATTGGGGTCTTGCTTCTATCAATAAAGCTGAAGTATGGGCTGCTTGGGAAACTCATAACCTGGTCTTGAATTTCAAAAATTACCCTCTCGTTACAGTGGGTGACTCCAAAATCGTGATTTCTTGCTTATTTAGTAAGGTAATGCCTTACTCATAAACCTGCGGAACGTCATCCAAGGCATGAGTTGCTACCTTAATAATCTCTATGGCATTTTGCTTTTATCTGTTCTAGTGATTTGTGGGGGTCATACTACCCCCATCTACTTGCCAACTGAGAATTGACAACTTGAAAGATCAGACCAATGGACAACCAAAGTCATTCCAATCAATGAAGCCTTGTCCCAATTTTGTCAGGACTCCTTTGCCTCCATCAAGACACAGCTTATGGTATAATCAAGTTCCATACTGCCCTATCCAAAGTTTCTCTCAATTTGTGGTTAGATCTTAAGAGAGGGCAAAGGCTGCTTTAGGTAGGAATCGTACGAGAGTTAGGTCGGCTGTGGGGATAAAGTTTATCCTTTGTATTGCATGGACTCTACTATTTTCTAGGTAGGAAGAAAAAGAAAAGTAATGCTCTCCATAAGTTCCAGTTCCTTCGAGGAGCATGATCTGTTTCCAAGCCAAGTTAGAAAATATAGAATTAGTGAGGTTGAAAGAGGATAAATGGTTAACACTTGGATACAGATAAGGTTTATGAACACAATAAGCATTGCATCCCGCTTGATTTGCCTGAATTGGGATGTTACTGATCACTTAATTTTCAGTTTGATTTGCATCTGATAGATAATGGGCTTGATCTACCAGGTGTGTTAGAACAGGATGCTACAGTGCTTGCATAAATACAAAGGTGTATTAGGGGGAAGATGTAGCCCAGGTTCGATTTCACTTCTAAGAAGTAATTTTTTTAATAAGTACTTTTAAAAAAGTGGGGAAGAAGTACTTTTTATTAAAAAAGTATTTCTTAAAAAAGTAACTTAAAGTTGGCTTTTTTTTCAGCACTTCTTAGAAAAATACTTTTTTAATAGAATGGGACGAACTAATCCCTAGTATTTTCTTTTAATACCCAAAATAATCCCGTGCGAGGGTTTAAATTATTATTATTGTTATTATTTTTGTTGTTGTTGTTGTTGTTGTTATTATTAATTGGGCCTACATGGCAATTCACGTGTGGGTCCATGTGGACTCTCAATTGTCATAATTTGGTATTTTTTCATTGAAATATATAGTATAACATGTGAAAAGCATTATATATCTATATATATATATATATGAATGAAGTGAGGGCTAAAATTGTTTGCGTCAATACAAACACTTATGGAGAAAGTAGCTTACCAAACATTCCCACCCCAATAAGTGCTTAAAAATATAATAAGTGATTTAGCAAGTAAATCACCAAACAGCCTCAAGTGGTTAAAATAAATACTTTTAAGAAATACTTTTTTTAACAACCACTTAATCATCAAACAGGACCTACACATAGAGAAATATTTATGGCTTACCGACTCAAGTCTTATATAGATTTGCTATCTCTGCTATTGAAGTTTTGCCTAGTAGAATGGCTTCCAACAAGGTAAAAATTCGCATCGCTACTACTGAAGACCTAACCAAAAAACATTGGATTGATAGGTAGAATTAGGTCCCATTTGATTTGCAGGAATATCTCCATTCCAACCGTTTGGTTGGGCAGAGCCGGAATTCCATTCTCCCATTTGAGGGAATGGCCATTCTCTACCCCTCCCTTGGGAATGAAATCCCATTTTTACTTATTTTAGTTTTCATTTTCATTTATGTCTGAACCAAACAAAATATGGGAATAGTCCATTCCGATTCCAATTTCAAAACATTCTCTTCCAATTCTGGTTCTGATTCCAACTGTAAACCAAACGGACCCTAGGTTATGATATGATCAGAAATCACTTTATTGTAATTAAAGTGTTCACGAACTAGAAAGCCCAATTAAGAATTAAATGTTCAGTATATAGGTTCCAAGGGGTAACCGATCGACGATTGAACACAAGGCCTGTAAATTCAAAAGTATATTAATTAGACAAGGGAGAATGCAAATCAGCTAGTCAACCAGCTAAAGCTTCTGCAGCTAGCTATTGGTATCACCATGACACGATCGTTGCTTCCACAGTAAGCAATCGTCGACCCTTAAAGTGAATTCATGGGTGGTTAGGACTTAGAAGTGGTATTTTGCTTGTCATCGTCACAGGCGCCTGTGACGGCCCGTGGGGTGGGGTGTTGGGTACGTGGGTTCTCAAGATTTTTTGTGTAATTTTCGAGTCTATTGAAGCCAGCATTCTTTACTGCCTCAGTGGTTTGTACAGCTGCTGTCTCATATATACGATTTTTGAAAGCATCCTGATCTATAGAATTAGGTTTTTACCGATTTATTGAAATGAAGAAACCTTCAATGACTTTAGGCTGTGTTTGTTGTAACTTCATCAATGGAGTTGTACGCTGATGAGTTTACAATTTTGTGAACCATTGGAGCCTTTTTAAATGTGATAATCGATGTACAATTGATGTAAAATCGTAAATATGCATTGATTATCGCTACGTATTTACGTCGATTATTGATGAAAAAATATGGACTGAGAATAGAGTGTTATACCGGTCCATATTTACACCAAAAATAAACATGTACAAATTTTAAGTCGATTCGCATTTACACCTAAAACAAACACAATTGTAATAACATAGATTACAAAATTTGATTGTTTTGTGGACAAAGACGAACTAGCTACCAAATTTGATTGTTCCAATAATGATTCAACCTCTTATATATTGCTTAAAATTGTCTAATCAGATTGACTTTTGAATTCAAAGATTTTCAACTTTGGATTAGAACAACTGTTGATCTATTAATTTATCATATGACATTGGCCCCTACTATTCAATATTCAATGTATGTATGATATAGTACAGTATCTACCCAATTCGTGTCTGATAATGATACCAAAACATTTTTTATTGGCGTGAGCTGTAAACGAGGAGAGTATCCCTTAATTCTGGGATAACTCTTATCATAGTAATTTGTATGTAACTAGGAAAGGAAGAACAAGAAAGTTCGGGTGTAATTAGGAGAGGTGTGTATATAATTCATTCGTTGTAAAGGAGAAAAAAGGAAGAAAGAAGAAGAGTTTTTCTCCTTCTACTCGAGTTATCATGGTATCAGAGCATTACGGTCCGTGACAAACTCGTCTTCCTGATCGCTGCGAAGTCTTGGTCGCCGGTGGGTGACCGCTGCTACTACCGCTACAAGTCCGACGGTTGCTCCAACGTGTGGTTTGTTTTTCCTCTACCCAGAAC